TTATCACCCGCAAACTGATGGGCAGAGTGAAAGAACTATTCAGACTCTCGAAGATATGTTGAGAAGTTGTGTTATAGATTTCGGGGATCACTTGCCATTGATTGAGTTTGCATATAATAATAGTTATCATTCCAGTATTCRRGCAGCGCCATATGAGGTATTGTACGGACGTAAATGCAGAACGCCGTTATGTTGGAATGAAGTGGGTGAGAAACAGTTGACTGGTCCTGAAATTGTTCAAGAGACTTCCGAAAAGATTGAACAAATCCGTGAAAGAATTAAGACAGCACAGGATCGCCAAAAAAGCTATGCTGATAATCGTCGGAAATCTATAGAGTTTGATGTAGGCGATTTTGTTATGTTAAAAGTTTCGCCATGGAAGGGTGTTATTAGATTCGGGAAGAAGGGAAAGCTCAGTCCGAGGTATGTTGGGCCATTCAAAATTTGTAAACGAATTGGGATGGTAGCATATCAGTTAGAGCTACCAGAAGAACTGAACCGGATCCATAACACTTTTCATGTTTCRAATCTGCGGAAATGTTTGGCTRATCCGAATTTAGCTGTACCATTGCCAGAGATACAACTAGACAGTAAATTGAACTTTGTGGAAACACCAGAAGCCATAATTGACAGAAAGATAAGGGTGTTGAGAAACAAAGAGATAAGTCTGGTTAAAGTACAGTGGAAGTTTCACAAAGGACCGGAGGCGACCTGGGAGTTGGAGTCAAAGATGAGGTCAGAATACCCATGGCTTTTTTATTAAAGGAATTCCGGGACGAAATTCTCTTGAGAGGTGAATAATGTGATAACCAGATCTTGGTTATTACCCAAGGTAATTTATACGTAAATATTTGACTAAATGATTTCGTGATAGCATGATAAACTGATATGTTTATTATATGTTGAGATGTGAAAATGTGCAATATTTAGATATGAATATATATATATATATATATATTGACACATATATATATATATATGTGTGTATGGAAGATAATATATATATTTATGTTATTAATTTTGAGTGCAAATGGTGATGCATACGTGTATGTTGTGTGCATGGAAGTAGGAGATGTGTGCATGTGGGTTGTGCATTCTTATGTGTGATTGGTTAAGCTTGAGGTGGAGGGTGATATGAAAGGCGGTCTAAACCRACCTTTCCCTAATTGGGAGGTATAAAAGGGAGGTTATTCCCTTCATTTAACTTTCCTGCCATTTTGAAGATTTGAGAGGAAGTTGAGAGGTTTAAAAGAGAGTGTTGTCCGGTTTGCTGTAAGAAGGTGATTTTGAGTGCTGCATTTCAAAAGGATTGATTTCAAGAGTTTTGTATTCAAAAGCTTTTTAAAAGGTGAGTGGTTTCTAAATCTTTTGCATATAAATTTATTACTTATTTTATTAGTATGCTTCGTATTTTTATTCTTAAAATGGAACTTTGATTATATTGTCTAAGTGTTTATCCGGACAAAGTTTGACCGGATAAGGGTTTAAACCGGATAAGCGTTGAGAGGTTCATGTTGGGAGGTATAACTTGAGAGGTTTATATTAGGAGGTTTAACTTGAGAGGTATATTGAGAGGTTTAT